GCCAAGTTGTCCAGGCAGGTCTTGAACCCGCGGGCTCAGGCAATCCACTCACCTTGGCCTCCCAAAGCACGGGATTGCAGGCTGAGCCACCGAGCCTGGCCTATTTTCTGGATTTCAATTTGTCTTTTTTTCCTCTAAGGAATATTGTTGGTAGGTAAAAGTTTATAGAATTTTGCTTTTTAATTCTGATGACTGACTTATTGACATGACATGCACCCATTAAATATAATTTTAATGCAAAAATGGATAAATAAGTATTTTTATTTAAAAAAAGTTTTTAAATTTAGATTTGGAAGTGCACATGCATATTTGTTACATGGGCATATTGTGTAGTGGTGGGGATTGGGTCTTAGGTGGCCCATTCCCCAAATAATGAACATTGTGCCCCATAAGTAGTTTCTGAAATAAGTTTTTTTTTTTTTTTTGAGTCGGAGTCTCACTCTGTCGCCCAAGCTGGAGTGCAGTGGCACACTCATGGCCACCACAGCCTCAGCCTGTGAGCTCCAGTTCTCCTCAGCCTTCCAAGTAGTTGGAACCACAGGTGTGCACCACCATACTCAACTAATTTTTTGATTTATTGTAGAGAGGAGGTCTTGTCAAGTTGCCCAGGTCTTGATCCCCTGGACTCAGACAATTCTCTTGCCTCTGCCTCCCAAAGTGCTTGGATTACAGGCATGAGCCACCGTGCCCAGCCTAAGTTGTTTTTTTTTTTAAAGAGAGGACTTTACCTTACTCATTTTGAATATTATAAATATGTTCATCTTATCTTCAATTGTGCTTGTGTTTATCTTTATTACTGTTATCTTTGCTTTCTTTTTTCATTTACATAATGTCTGTAGTTGACTTTGTTAAATTTTAAACTCTCAGATGATAGGAGTACGACTTTTTGAACTGGACCTTAAGATTTTGACAGGCAGAGAAATAGAGCTTTCCTAGAAAGGGGAAGTAAAAGGCAGGCCATGAGGAGGTGTGACTGTGCAGGTGTGTGCAGGACACAGAAGGTAATCTTGTGTGCTGGTGCAGGAGCAGTGAGAGAACAAGAAAATGTGAATTGAGGTTGGGTCATGGGAGTCTTGGATGCTGGGTGAAGGAACTGGGGCTTATTTCATTGCTGAGAAGTCATTTTGAAGGGAGGAGTAACATAGACAAAGGTGAAATATGACAGATTTCAAGCTGAAAATCAGGCAGAATGGTGAATCCATGACAAAAATAATGAAGGCCAAGAAGAGTGGACTACAAAAGAGGGTGGGGACAGGGATAACAAATGATTCTTCCATATTGATTTTGAGTTGCCAACAAAGCAGTAGTTGATACTTAACTCTCAGTTGTAAACATGAGATTGGCTGGAGAAAAAATATTTGGTTTTGGAATTATGATATCTGAAGTCTTCAGAATGGAAAACTAAGGACATAGTTTGAGATAGAAAAGCGTTGACGAACCAACCCCCAAGAAGGCTTCCTTTTACAGGAAAAATGAAGAGTAAAGAAGGAGCTATGAGAGGTACAAGTCCAGGAAGGACTGGGTAGGGCAGGTGGGGCCAGATATGAGAAAATCAGATCTGAGAAGATAGCTCTGGATTTCATTGCTAGAGATTAAGGCTTGAAGAGAGATGTTTCAAAGGAGTGAGGAGAAACAAGACAGATGACTGAGGGATGAAGGGCTGTAAGGACGTGAAGATAGCAAGAACAGACTACTTGATTGTGAGGGCAGAGAGAGTAGATGGAAGGGGTGAAGGCTGTTTGTGCTTTAGAGACCCAAACTTTTGTGCTCACAGCAACAATTCTACACCAACTTTCTTCCTCAAGACCTGTGAGCAACATCCATGTTGCCCATTTATTACTGCTTCCCACTCCTTCTATGAGTGTTTTGTTCTTTCTCTGCTGGGAAATGCCTGCAGGTAACACCCAGTGAGATGACACATTTTTCATAACTTTATGATGACATTTTTGTCTCCTCTGCTCACTGAAGCTCTTTGCTTGCTGAATGCCCTTGCTGACCTCTCACACACAGTCCCTGGATCTTGATTTCACCAACAGAATCTCAAACTGGAAAGAACTTCCAGTCATCTTCTCTATTCCCTCCTTTTTACCTGTACATATCCAAAATCTCTCTCACTTTTTAAAATTTTATTTTAAAATTGTGGGGTGAAATAAATTTTTCTTGACCCGAGGTGGGAAGGATTTAGTTAATGAAACACATTCTTCAGTTAATAGTGCATCTTTATCTTTACTTCACAAATCCCTTTCTTGTTTCTTTTTGTTGTTGTTTACAAACCTTATTCATTTATTTATTTGTCATCATTCCTCCCCATCCTGCCCCCAAATGAACAACTGTTTAAAGCATTTGTTGCCAGGCTCTGTGGCTCAGCCTGTAATCCCAGTGCTTTGGGAGGCTGAAGTGAGTGGATTGCCTGAGCCCATGGGTTTGACACCCGCCTGGGCAACTTGGCGAGACCTCATCTTTACAATAAATCAAAAATTAGCTGGGTGTGGTAGCGCGCTCCTGTAGTTCCAGCTATTTGGAAGGCTGAGGCGGAAGGATCACTGGAGCCTAGCAGGTCGAGGCTGCAGTGGCCGGGAGCAGCCACTGCACTCCAGTCTAAGTGACAGAGTGAGACTCCAACACACAAAAAAAGCATTTGTTGTCTTTTGTCTTTTTCTTGTTTTTTTTTTTTTTAAAGACTTGGTCATTGGGAAGTATTGTCTTTTTTTAATAGATAATTTGGCAAAACACATATTGCTGTATTATGTGTTTATATATTTAATTTAAAAATGAAATGATATCATAGGCCTTATTCTATTTCTTGCTTTTCTATTCCACACCATGTTTTAAAGATCAATTTGTGTTGTGTGAGTGGACTTTGTATGACTCCAACTCTCTGCTGCCACAAAAAATGCTGTAGTGAGTGTATGTCCTCTTAGGACCTAAGTGTGGAGTTCTTTGAGATATTTATGCAGAAACAAGACCACTCAGTCACAGAGGGAAGCACATTTAGGTGACTGGGACCCTCCTCAGAACAGCTGTTCCACCACAAGTCTCCCCAGTCTGCCGTGGAGTCCTTGGATCCTCATGCACCCTTCCATTGGACATTATCCAGTTGTCTAATTTTTATTAATCTGATGAGTGACAAAAATATTTCACTTTTGTGTTAATTTTCATTTCTCTAATCACTGATGAGTTTGGGCATTTATTCACATGTACTCTTTCTTCTGTGAACTAACTGTTCATTTTCTTCACAGATTTTTCTGTTGGATTCTTGTTTTCTTGTTGACTTGGAGGCTTTCCTTTCTTTATTCTACATATAAGTCTTGTGTTAGTTATAAACATTAAAGATATCATCTCCTAATCTGCCATTTTTCTGTTAATTTTGTACATGGTGCTATCTTCAGTAATACTTGATCTTGATGTAATCAAATTAAACTATTCCCTCACGTTTTGTGCTTAGAGGAGTTTGTTCAAGACATCTTTGCCTACTGCCAGGTCACAAATTTATTCTCTAACTTTATTTTCTATTAACTTTATAAGTTTTCCTTTCACACTTAGATCTTTAATCCATCTAGAATCAACCTTCACATATTCTAGTTTAGTTCTCTATTATTGTAAGCTAGTTTTTCTCAAGACCGTCTTCTGCAGGTTCTGTCCCTCTCCCGCTAATTTATGGATGGACTACTTGTTTCTTTTTAAATTCTTTTATAAACATGAGTCTGTCTTTGAGCTATTTCACTTTGATTTTCTTTCTTTCTTTCTTTCTTTCTTTCTTTCTTTCTTTCTTTCTTTCTTTCTTTCTTTCTTTCCTTCTTTCCTTCCTTCCTTCCTTCTCTCTCTCTCTCTCTCTCTCTCTCTTTCTTTCTTTCTTTCTGTTGGAGTCCCACTCTGTCATACAGGCTGGAGTGCAGTGGCACACTCACAGCCACCCTGGTATCTACCTGCTAGGCTCTGGAGATTCTTCTGCCTCAGCCTTCCAAGTAGCTGAAACTACAGGCACATGACACCATGCCCAACAAATTGTAGAGATGAGGTCTCACCAAGTTGCCCAGGCTGTTCTTGAACCCCTGGGTTCAGGCAATCCTCTTGCCTCAGAGCCCCAAAGTGCTGGGATTACAGGCTTGAGCCACCACTACTTCTTCTAGTGGTGCAAGAAGATATAGAAAATCAAAGTACCCCACCAACTTTGATTTTCTATATCTTCTTGCACCATTACTTCTTACATCAGTACTGACTTTAGTACTATGACTTTGAATGCTTTTTTATCTGATAGGACAAGTAACGTCTTGCAGCTAATCTAACAAAGGAGTACAAGAAGAGAGTTTGTGGAGTCTCTTGTTGACATCGTCCCCTTTCCTTCACCTTGATTCATTGCAGGCTTATGTTGATATTAGGACCAGTTTTGTCTATTTTTGCTTCTCTCATAGGTTATCCAAACCCTGAAAGCAAATTTTTCAGAAAATTCAAATCATTCATTATATTCATAGCTTCAGGAACACAGTGACCCATCCAGATATTGATTTAAGATGGAAAAAGAAGACACATGTCTGCCTGGGCCATGGATTTGCTCCAAAGGGCTCTTGACGTCCATCCCAGTGAGGACCAGGGAGGAATGTACCAGAGACTTGCCATCTCTTCTTGAAGGCAATTCTCTCCAGACTGGCTTCACTTGTTAATGCAAAGTAGTAAGAAGTGCCAAAAGATTGGGATATGCATTTTATATATTGGGAGAAGCACCCAGAAGATAAATAGAAACGGTTCTATTACTATCTGTTATTTTTTTGTATAGTTCTAAGACTATAAAAGTTTACTCATTACTTTCCTCCATTATTATGCATTAAGTAAACTCTCAAACTTTTTCCCCAAGCATGATGCTCCAAGGACACTCCTTTTTAGGCAGAATTTTATATTAGCCTCACCCTGGGCTCAGGACTCGCACTGTGTTCCATTGACTCTTCCCAATGGGTGCCACCTCTCACTCACTGTCTGACAAGCAGTTGTGTCTGTCCCTTTAGGAACGACTCAACCGCAGGATCAGGAAGCTCAGAAAGGACATTGGAGAACTTCAGCAGCTCAAGGCTCAGGAGGAGGAGAAGCTGCAAGATCTGCAGGTGGGTTTCTCAGATTCCCAGGAAGGACCACCTTGAGTATCCTCAGGGTCTTTATTTCCTGTCCTGCACAGCTGTCTGTCCCTGAAGCAGTCTGAAAACCTGGGTGTTGGCCTTAGCTTTAGGGTTTGCTAGCTGAATGACCTGGGGCAAGGTAAGCCCCTCTGATCTTTTTGTGACTTATATGACAAATGAAAACCAACCCTGCTCTACCTGGCTCAGTGTAAAAATCAAAGAAGACCAGTGTCTCATCAATTGAAAATTACTATACATGCCATAGGTCTCCATTACTGTCTCTGACAGTCTACTTTTCTATTCCTTTTCTATTCCTTTTGCCTACTAAGGTGTGAGATCTGTCTTTACCTTATGACCTGTAGGGGGTTAAAAGCAGGCAGTGAAAAGATATAGCTGAGGACTGTGTGTTTGTATGCGTGTGTGTGTGTGTGTGTGTGTGTGTGTGTGTGTGTGTGTGTGTGTGTGTTCCCACTGTGGTATGACATGGCATCTGTAGATTTTCACGAGTGTGAGGTGGAAGCCAGGTGCAGTGAATTATATAAGCCTGTAATCTCAGCACTTTGGACGGCAGAGGCAAGAAGATTGTCTGAGTCCAGGGATTCAAGACCAGCCTGAGCAGCATGGTGAGACCTCATCTCTATAATAAATTTAAAAATTAGCTGGGTGTGGTGGCACATGTCTGTGTTGCAGCTACTTGGAAGGATGAGGCAGGAGGATCGCCTGAGCCCAGGAGGTTAAGGCTGCGGTAGCTATGAGCATGCCACTGCACTCCAGCCTAGACAACAAAGCAAGACTCTGACTGAAAAACAAAAACAAAAGAGTGTGAGGTGGGAAGGGGATGTGTCCCTGCCTTTATGAGGACAACAGCGACATCTTGCCATACCTGTGACATGCAGAGACAGTGCGCCACCATGAGGGGGAGAAGGCTGAAGATCAACATTCCCACTCAGATATTCAGAGATTGTGAGGGTCCAGAGGGAGACCCTTTTCTGTAGTTTCAGGTAGACCATGGGAATCACAGGCTGGAGGCTGAGCTGGAAAGCCAGTATCAAACCAGGGGCCAGCTGGATGCCCTCCCTCAGCAGTGGCTGAACCTGCCAGAGGACATGCCAAGAGAGGCGGCCAGAATCCTTGACATCACCAGGGAAGTAATGCAGCTCAGCAGCCTGGTCACGGATCTGGAGAGGACAGCCAAGAACCTAGACACCAACACACTTAAGGTGCATACCCTGAGGCATCTCTCAAAGACTGGGATGTTACCCAAATAGTAGGCCTCCTGCGTGCAGCACCCCTCTGGGAGGTGTAAGAGGGAGGAGTTCACGGTGGTAGCTTTTCCCAGGCCACATAGTCCTGCTGCAGCGGAGTGGGTGCAGAAGAAGGGTGCCATGCTCCCCACTTCTCAAGGTAGCACCCCAGATTGATTTCCCATTGTGAATTGGAAAGGAAATTTGGAGGTAACAGGAACCTGAGAATTGATTGTGATTCTCATTCTCTTTTTCTCTCTCCTAGAATGCCAGTGACTTATTGAACAGGTATGAGTCATCCCTGCTTCCTTCCCACATGTGCAGCCCACAAACCGACAATATAGATATACACATGGGCTTCCTCAAGGCCAATGAGACCCACTGCTCCATTAGCTTTTGTATCTTCATGGTTGGCCAGCGGAAAATTCAGTGGAATATATATGCACACACACACATATATGAATTTATGAAGGATTTTTTTTTCTTTTAGGAGTGCTCCACAGAAATTAGAGGTTGTTTACTCCAAATTGGAGAAAAGAGTCAATGAATCACTTCAGGCATCAGCAACAGCTCTGTCCTGTTCACCCCCAGGTCATCTCATTTCAGACTCACCTCAGCGTCCACTCTCTCGTTCCTCCAACCTGTCCAGCCTCCCATTAGGTCTACCCAGTGCATCTCCAGGACTGCTGCACCCTGAACACGGACCCATTTCTTCAAAACTACAACTGTCACCTGACACCTGATCTCTGACTCTTGGATAATAGCCTTAGCCTCCTTCCTGAACCAGGCTCATGTTGGAGGTGGCCAATGCAGAGGTCAAGATCCAAGAGGTCTCCAAGACCATTCACAAGGTTTCCATTTTGCTTGTGAACTGATGTTAGTGCCCATCTTGCATAATCTCGTGTTAAAATAGGAGCACCTAGGCATCTGGATGGCACAAGCTCACCAGTGGCAATGCCACCTCAGCATATGATACCTAGCAGGGATTTTGGAAGGAATATTCCTTCTGAGTTCCTCTAGCACCTGTTATCTGTGCCACTCACATGGCACTTATTCACAGATGGACTCAAAGGCAGCTTCCATGATCCTTGCCTCTTGGTATGACTGTAAGTGAGATCTGTGATTTGCTTCTAATCAATGGAATATGGCAAAGGTGATGGGTGTCACTCTGGAAACTTTGTTACATTGTATCAGAAGTCTCCCTGCTAGTAGACTCACTCTAGAGCCTCTCTTAAGAGCTAAGAGCAGCCTCCAGCCTCCAGCCAACAAGAAGCACAGGCCCTCCATCTGTGGTTGCAAGAAATCAAATTCTGCCAACAACCTGAGTGAACTTGGAAGTGAATTTTTCACCACTTGAGCCTCCAGATGAGAACCCAGTCCAGCCAACACTTTGATTACAGCCTTGTGCATTCCTAAGCAGAGGACTCAGCTAAACTACCCAAATTTCTGACCCACAGAAACTCTGAGACAGTACATGTGATTGTTTTAAAGCAGTAAGTTTGAGGTAATTTTATTGAGCAATGGATAACTAATGCAATTGTATATCAATTGTGTATAAGTCTCACTTCTTTGGGTAAGGAAGAATGATACTTTATGTCCTCAATGTCTAGAACAGTGTCTGACTCATAGCTGGTGTCCAATAAAAATTTTAAATGGATGTATGAATGAATTAATAGAAAGTCTACAGGCTCTTTTTGATCCTCCATGTTTAAAGGGAGCCATCAATTGCCTTTTAACTAGCATTTATTGAGCCCTTGCTGAAGTAGTCAATACTATACTAGAGACTGAGGAATATAAAGAATAAAATATAGCCACAAGAAGGTGCCACATGGTGCAAAGAGTGAAAGCTGAGGAGTCAGACTTTAGTTCAGGTCCCAGTCCTGATACCTAATACCTCTATAACCCTGGGCAAGTTACTTAGTCTTTCTGAGCCTCTATACTACCCCCTCTAAAATTAGGGTAATGGTACCTGTGTCTTGGGATTGTTGTAAGAATGAAATATTATACATGCCAAGTGTCTTCTGCCGTGCCTAATGTTGTAGATATTCAGATATATTAATTGCAAATATATTTCTTAAATTCCACTTCCTCTTTTGAAATGAAATATGGGACAATAAAAGAATTGTAAAAAAATAAATTCAATTTCCCCATCCAGAAGCTTATAGTCTAGCTATGGGACCAGGATAAACATATAGAATAATAAGACTGTGTGATTGCATTAAATTAAGTATCATGGAGCCAACCATGTTGCCCATTGAAGCTGGACTGGATTTTTTAAAAAATGTACTACATATACACAGTGGAATACTATGCATCCATAAAGAAGGACAAATATATGGACTTTGCAGCAACTTGGATGGATTTGGAGTTGCTCATACTCAGTGATTTATCACAGAAACAAAGAACAGAGTTCCATACGTTCTCACTCATAAACAGACCTTGAACAATTATATTGCTATATGAAAGTGACTGGCAGTAGTGGGAAACTGTCAGGGGAGTGGGGGTGGAATTGGCAGTTGAGAGAAACTACTAGGGGAGGGAGGAGCTTACCTCATCAACAAGGGTACCTGCATCATCAATGTTTATATACCTAACCCTGAATTGTACCCCACATCTTTATAATAAAATTTTTTTTAAAATTAAGTATCACAGAAAAATTAAGTGCTCTGAGAATTCAGAGGAAAGACAAGTGAGACTGGTAAAGTCAGGGTAGGCTTTGTGGGGGATGTGGGTATTGCACAGGTGGGAGAAGAAGGTGAGGACATTCTAGGTCAGGATCATCACACAAATAAAAGCAGGGAGGCAAGGAAAAGCCATAGCATATAGAGTGTGAGGAAACTGACTTGATTAGTCTGAATGTTCAGGAATAAGGAAATCCTGACATCAACAGGCTGGATAGTTGACCAAGACATAGTGAGTCATCAGAGGCTTTTGAGTCAGTAGTGAAAGGAGAAGTGGTGTTTAAGGAAAATCAGTCTGGATCATTTGTGCAGGATGAACTGAGGCAGGGAGTTGGGAGTTGGAAGGAGGGAGAAGTTGAAAAAGACTAGTGTAGATGTTCAGAAAAAGGAGTAACTACTTGGCAGGAAGCTGCAGCTCTCAGAGAAACATGAGACCCCAAATCTAAGAGCAAGACATTAGCCAAGGAGAAAACACTCCTGAAGGTGACAGCTCATAATTTCTGCATCCCAGGTCTGATGTCTCACAGAACATTTGAATTAGGAGTGAGAGGAGTCTGATGTGCCCCAAGGGTCTGGTCTCTACTGGAGAGAAGTCAGTTGAACTGCAGGTGACTGCCAGGCCCTCCTTGGCCTCTTGATATGACCACAGATGATCAGGCCAGGAGTGGGCATCTGACCACTCAATTGGTTGACCAATCGAGTCTATGAGGTCACTCCTCAAAAAAGATTTTAGCAAAGAAGGACAATGATAATTAACTGAAACTATCAGGTTCTCTTGGAGGTTTAGAAGGAATCTATGATGAATGTGTCCTTAGTTGGCAGGAAGAGCAACCACAGAAAATCAAAGCCACGTGCATGGCCATGTATTTAAGTAGGTGTCCACAACCCCTGCTGTTTAGAGGCCACAGGATAATACACTCTCTACATATCCTTGGATCATGAACCCCCTTCCTACCAGGTCTTAGGCATACAACATACAATCACATGATGGTCATGAGCACAGATTTGGAAGCTAAACCATCTGAGTTAAAATGTTGGCTCTGCTACTTACTATTGGCTGATTCAAGACCAGTTACTGGACCTCTACATGTCTCAGTTCTCTATGTACAAAGTGGAAATATTAGTAACAACACCTACCTCACAGGGTTGCTGTGAGAATTAAATGAGTCAATGTATAAAATATTTATTACGGTGTCTAGCAAAAAATGAGTTCTATGTGTGTTTGTTATTGTTATCAGCATTTTTTGAATCTCTAGTTTTTCTAGGTAAAATCCTGTTGATTCTTTTTTTTTTTTTTTT